ACAGAGTCAGACCCTGTCCCTTCAAAACAAACACACAAACAAATAAACAAACAAAACAAAAGCCTCTTTCTGCTGAACAGTCCAGGAAGAAAAAAATAAATAAAGTAAATAACTAAAGCATTTTTAAAAGTCCTCTGTTGTCCGTCTCCTTCCGCTGGGGCAGGGAGCTCTGTCTGTTTTGTCCTCTCTTCTATTGCCGGCTTCTAGAATAGGACCTGGTATCCAGCAGGTGCTCACCATTTGTCAAATGCATGAAGCGGCAGAGTTGGGGCTGGCACCCAAGCATCCTGATTCCCGTTTAGACTGTTGAATTAAGAAACGCCACCTCCTCCAGGAAGCCTCTGAGCTTTTCTCTGTATCGGGTGCCTCCTACGGTGGTCTGCACACCCGCCCCCCTCCCCCATCGCAGTCCTGACTGCCCGGTCCGCCTCCCCCTCTGGCCGGTGGGTCCCCCACGGTCGCTGCTGACTCGCGGGGAATTTTTGTGAAGCACCTGGAAGCAAGAGGAGTGAGGAGGCTTCCCGGCCGTGCTCCCGGGGGGGGGGGGGGGACTCACCGAACACAAAGTTGTCAGGCCGGAAGATCTGCCCGAAGGGGCCGGAGCGGACTGAGTCCATGGTGCCGGGCTCCAGGTCCACCAGCACCGCTCTGGGGACATAATTCCCTCCTGCAGGGCAGCAGATGGAGAGCAGCTTGGGTGCGCGCCAGGAACCCCCGGCGCCGGGGAGCGAGCATCCTGTCCCTTCCCCCCCACGCCAGGAGGTGCCCGGGTGGCTCAGTTGCTCACCTGTGGCCTCGTTGTAATACACATTGACCCTCTCCAGCTGCAGGTCGCTGTCCCCGTGGTACGTGCCCGTGGGGTCGATGCCATGCTCGTCACTGATCACCTCCCAAAACTACAGGGTGCAGGTGGAGAGAGTTGGGGCGGGCTGGGGGCGGAGCAGGTGGCCAGGCCGGGCGCCCCCTGCCCCCCTCTGGCCAGCCCTGCCCCGGCGGGGCGATCGGGGACCCCCGAGGCAGGGTGCCGGGCGAGAACGCGGCGGCGAGAAGGAAGCCGTGGGGGCGGGGTGGCGCGGAGC